CCCCCCCCCCCCCGGGAGAGATATGCCTTTAGATTGCAAATTCAAAAAAACCAATTTTAAAAAAATAACTTATTTGGGCCTTTTGCCGTAAAACTCTTGGACTACCAGCTGCCATGCAAAACTCAATTTTCCAGACTGTTCTCTGCATCACAGTTACTGCTGCTAACAGTGTGGGGGAGAGGGAAGCAATGAACAGAGAGGAGGGGAGGGGGGCAACACAAGGACATAACAATTCATGCCATCTGAAAAAATTTCCAAAACAACTGTCCTCGAAACTGTTGAGAATTCAGTGGTCTTACTACATGTCAAGAGTGGAATAAAACATCTGTTAACCGCTAAAGCCGGCAAAAAAGTGCCCTTCTTTATGAATTTCAGCAAAAAATGAATCCTCACAACTGTTACACTTTAAAGATAGCAAGTAAAAAATCTCGAAAAGGCTGTATATTTTTTAAAAATTTCTTAAAAGCACAACATTTCACATTTTTGACCTTAAAAAACGCCTTGAGAATTCTGTCACTATACATATGTTGCACAGAGAATGAAGATATTACAGCGCAATCATACAAGAAACGTCAAAACTTTCATGCATTCATACAACTTCAGAAATGCTTGAAGAGAAGGCTAAGGCTACGAAAATAACAAAAATCTGAAAACCTGTTATTTTTGAGGAAGCCGATGCGTCCCATCGGTTGCACAACCACTAAGTTATTGTTGAGTAGCGCAACCACTCCCCGAAATATTTCAATATTTTCCAGTGTTGCGTCTGTCGACAGTGGCACAATAATTGGCTCAGTAATCAAATTGTGCTCGGCCTAAAAAACCATTTTTTACATGCTTTTTAAGTTAAAAAAAAAAAGAATTCTTGTGTGTATAAAGCCCTTAAACAATAAATGACCTGTCAGCCAATATAAATCTACAGATTATTATACAGCGCATTATGAACGTATTGATGCATAATTTTTTCCCCAAAGTAAACCATTTTGCCTTTTAACTGTTTCGATAATACATATTTACTTTTATCCAGTGGTTTTAAGATCAACATTTATTCGGGTTCCGGAACTAGGCCCATCAAAATATGAGCCTGAAAGTTGCAAATATGCAATATCACTAACAGTTTCTACGGTGGAATCACCTTCAAATCACCTTCAACAATCACCTTCAACAACAACACTGGGAAAATGTTCACAGAAAAAACAGACGGGTAAAAAGAACAATGAAAATGAGGACGTGGTGCTTTAACAGATATGTGCGGCCCATAACTTCGATAAAAATGACAGAATAACAGGGTGGTCTTCGTTCAAATTTTGTGCTGATTTCTACTTAAGGTATATGTGGTATAAAAAAAAATTATTCGACAGCGCACTAGCTGCCGGTGCGAAGATGCTTTTTTGCAAAACTGCCTCGCAGGTTTTTGTTGCTAACGGCACTGTCTTTTTCGGCAGATGCTTTTAGCTATAGGAATTGAGAGTAGTCACCACGACTGTCAGAAATTATTTCAATGACTCCAAATTAATGCCCGAAAAATTCAGCATTCTTGATGCTTCGGTAGCGGAGTTACATCAGATTTCACATGTTCGTACGCGAGTGGAGCAACGTTAATGCTGCTGACGTGTAAGCTTGCTCAGACACGGCCGAAAAAAATTTTCACGTGTCCGTATGCGAAAACCACGCGGAAGTGAGCGTCCATTTTAAGGATAGGTAGATTAACTCATCAAAGTTTCAGACTTGTAGCTTTTGTGGATCTCGAGATGAAAACTCGTTACAGACGCACACAAAGATACACTTACACACAGAGACAACCCCTCGACAATATGCGTTTTTTGCATTGTATAGATGCAAAAACGCATAAAAATAGAAGGTTGCTAAAATGCTGAAAAATGTGGCAAAATGACACAGCTGCAACCTCATTCATCTCTTTCAATTTCACACAACGGGCTTCGCATTTTACACAAAACATAATGATAGGAACCGAAATATCCAAGACTGCAGTTCCTTTTTTTTCAGATAATTTAATCAACGGTAACTTAATGCCAGTTTTTTGCAAATTTAATTTTAACCACGAATTTTATATTAAAAATGTCAGACAATTTCATACTACTGAGAAATAAACTGAACTACAATCATACGCAATATTCAACACCAACCCACACAACACAAATTTTCTGAAGTCTCAGTCGATGCCAAGCTAATTCCTTTTTTTTTTAAAAAAAAATTTATCCAGCGCTTGATAAATCGTAAAAGATCTACCCGACATTTAAATGTAAAATTCTGTTTGGCACCTAATTAAATCGTAAACTTTTACTCAATGAATTTCCCCTTATATCTGACAAACCGTAAAAATTCCCGTGACACTTAATATGCCCCATTTTGAAATAAAATATTTTTGTTATAAAGCATTGTGCGCACGGAATGAGGCCGAGAAATAAATTCTACAATTTGATTCAAATAAATTAAACGCTAACATACCTTACTAGTCAATGTTTGGGCAAACGAAGAGCTATCACTGCTTAACGCTTCCAGCAACGAATCACTGTCCGAAATGCTCTCATAACTGCTACGGCCAATCTGAAAAAGGAACGAAACCACAACAAATGTTATCAAAAGCTTTTATTGCACAATAGAACAGGAAATTTCATGACTTAATAATCAAAAGTGCAGGCACAAGGTTACTCTGAGTAAATAAATATTCAACAAATCCAATGCGCCTTGCTTGAATATTTCTATCAAAAAAAGTTGAAAAAAAAAGTGAAAAGAATGGCTTAAAATTAACTTTATTCGTCAAAGATCCCAGATAATTTCAGCACTTACATTCTCAAAAACATGTTCCGAGCCGGGCATCTCGATATACTTTGTGAGCATCCAATTATATTCAATACAAGCCCGATATTTTGCTGCTGTCCTGAAATCAATAATGGTGGAGTAATTGCAACATAATTGCCAAGTATCACAGTGAAAAACAAAGAAGAAATCCTCCGACACTACATCTTTCATGGCCTCTTTTTAGAGCTGTAAAAAAAAGAAAAAAAAAAAACCATAGGAATCCGATTAAAGAAACTATTAGATTTAAATGTCTTGTCTTTTTTCCACAAATAATTCAGCAGCTTCAAATCACCCGTTAAAATCAGTTTAACTAAATGTCCCATTTTACTGAAATTTTCAGTATCATTGTAAAATTTTCAAAAACTTTTATACGATGCTCTGGCGATTATAATTCATTTCTGAAATTAATTGCTAGGAATTTGGAACACGGACCTCGCTACGAGAGCCAGATAAGCTCGATTTGATTCATAATTCTCGTGACATACTGCAGCCACTCGGCCAAGCTTCGGAGCCCAGACCCAATCACCATATCCTTCTTCCCCTTTTGCTTGAAAGTAAATCAGTGTAACCAGCTGAAAAAAAAAAAAACCTGCTTTTACTTTTTATAAAAAATGCTTCTAACAAAAGGCATGCAAAAACAATCGCAAGGAAAATGTAAAACACGGAAGGCACTGAAGACCAGTCAGAGAAATTATCCACCATACCATAACATTATCTTTATAAATCCGCGTCGGAAATAATGGTTCCCGACATCTCCGTTCGATTTTATAACTGCCATCACCAGTCGGCAGTAAAGCAAGCCATGTTCCGAGTTTTGGCGCAGCTGACCGAGCATCAAGTTCGATTTTAATCTGAATATATTCTGTATCAGATGAGTAAATGTCTCTGTTTCTATACACAATGCAAAAGATGTCCAATGAGTGCTTATTCAGTAACGATACATAACAACGACTTTAGCTCGTGCAGCAGCCGGCCCTCCCAATTTTCAGCGTGCACCACAGTAGGCAGTGCGATCATGCATTTTGCACAGTTCGGTTCAGCGGACGTCTGCATTTTGCACAGTTCGGTTCAGGACTCCTCGAGTCTCACACAGTGCTGAGAACACCGGGACCCAATTTCCCGCGTAACAATCACAATCTCAGATTCTGTGACATTTGTAGATTTGCCAAGAGAACGATGTCGTTGCGAAAAAACCTATTCGGATTATATCATGATTGACATACGCAAAAAAAAAAAAAAAAACTGAAACCCCTCAATTACACTCAATTCTTCGCAAAATCGTTCTACGTGCACTGGCAGGTGCTTTTGATCCCACTGTGAAAAAAAAAGGGAAAAACGTAAAATCAACGTGAATACGTAACAGCTATGCAACATGTCCACCCCCCCTTCCCCACTTTCCTGGTCCCCCGCAAAAAAACTACAGGCAACAAATTCGGAACACTGAACCAGTGATGCTTATTGTGAAGTAAGCCTTGATCAAATTGAAACAAGCTCACTTCGAACGTGTCCTGGCCCTCAATTGTCGCAATAATCGACACAATAATCCACCGTTCTTCCGATTTTACTGTTACTCCCACTCGCTCACACTCCATTCTGCAATAAGTCCGAACTGTGCTAGGAAGCAATCTATCGTAAAGGAAACCAAGAGAATTTAAACAATCATAACAATGTTTATACAAAAAAAATTTCGTCCAGTAACAAAATAGTATAAAGTCTCCTGCTCGCAGAAAAAACTCCAAAATTTTTTTTATATTTTTATTACATTATTATACCACAGGGGGAGGGGAAAGACTCGAGTTAGAAGATGGGACATTTGCATATCACTTGGAAGCAAACGGCAACTGATGCATGGAGAAGGGAATTTTGGTCATCATTTCTTGCTCGTATCAACAATTTCTTCCTTATGCGGCACGCTGGCAAAGTGCCAATTCGAGGACTAAACTGATTAGAGTGTTATTACAATACATTTTTTAAACCTGGGCATGTAGGCGTAAAATGAGCTTTGGCGTACGTCTGTACCGTACGTCCGGACGCGTCCGATATATATGCACAACGAATTCCTCAATTAGTCCAGCCCGGGAGCTGGAATTTTGCGAGGATAATTCTGTACCAGTGTGCAATCTAAATATTTCAAACCAGCTTTAAAGCACGTCTAGGCCCCGGGTTATCGACTGGTACCCATAAAACGTAAATAGGCAAACAGGAATGCATCTAATACGCAGGTTCCGAAGTGCCAACTCAATTTTATGGAATAGTTGGACGAAGCGAACGCAAAACAGTACTCGGTCGCTTGGATGTTGGCTCTGTCACTGACAATCAAAAGACAGGAAATGACGATAAGGAGCCGTTTCCTGTATTCATCTATGTAAATTTTGCATGCGCGCAAGCGAATATTTAGTTTGGAAAATTTCGGCACCCAACCGGGACCAAGCAGGGTATCGCGTAATATATCAAATAATGATTAATGATTTTTGTTAAAAATAGATTAAAAATCAGCTGCGTTACTATGACGCAGGACCCCTGTCCCTGGTTCAAACTTTGACCACCCTACCCTCATTGAACTTTCGATCTTTGCCCCCTGGAGTATAAAAGCACTCCTCTCCATCGCTGGGATGACCACTACCGACCTCCAACTGCGATTTACTTATGTATAACTAATATTCCTATTCTGGGGAGCTTCGGCTCCCCAGAGCCTCACCACCTTTTATGCATTATCCTTTTACTTTACTATGTATAATAAACATGTATGTAGGACGCGACGTGTTACACACACATACAAGCGGGGCACACACTAGTCTAATAAGCCAGCCATTAGGATCACGATAAGGGAGAAGTATTTTCCTGAGGATGTTTGCTGTTCATGTGCCATCAAGCGTTAGCATGAGCTTCTATCTAGACTTTCGGATTGAAAAACCGTTCTACTGCTCAAAAATGATGAGAATCAACGCTCACTGGGTCACGGAGATGTTTGCTTTGATACTATCGCACATGTGATTAATCGTACCTTGCGATGAAGAGAAGCAGAGGAAGCAAGCTGAATTCCGAAATAATTGCAGTGTGGTGGACCACCGTCTCGCCCTTAACACCAGCTGCTGCAACGTGCAACGGAGTAGTGGCTCGCTCAGCGAGTGAGCCAGCAAAATTTCTACCGGCCGCCTCGAGATTACCTGCAACAGGGAAACATAACGCAACACCGCTAAACACTTTCCATTGTCCTAAGAACGCCGCCTGACCTGTAACACCACGACAGTGTCGCTCCTCCCCCCCCCCCCCCCCCCCCCCCCCCCCCCCCCCCC